ATTTAATGAAGAGGAAGATATATCACTAGCATTATTTGATGAAGAAGAAACAATTCCTGATGCTTGTGATGAGAAAAATGATGTGATTTTTTAGATCCAATTGCAACAAGTTCATTTGCATGTTTTTTATTTCGTAAAGTTGATTTAGCATCACCAGAATAAATTAATGGTCATTTATTGGGCAATGAAAATGCACCAGGTTTTGTAAAAGTTTCTTTAAGAACCTCAAATGAATCTAGGTTTCATTTAGTAATAATTTCAAATGATTTCACAAGTTGTTTTGTCAAATCTATATTGCTCCAGTTATTCTCACTACCTGCATTGTCAGTCAAATTATAATCACTTATATAATAATTACTTTCTTTCTTCATTATTTTCATTATTTCCATTGCTCACAATACTATATAATTCATCATCATCATTTACAACAGCATTATTAAACAATAATTCATCAATTGAAAAGTTGATTCAGGAATCTGAAAATGGTCAAAAATGGTTTAATCATATTATGTTGGGCAAAAAAATTAAACGTATAATCCATGCAAATAATGGTAAAATTATTAATTTTGTATTTAACATTTAAAAAAATGTGGTAAAATTTTGCAATTTGTTGTTTGTGTTAGATATAAAATAAATCATGACATCTTGCCAATCAATTCAAAAAAATTTTTATTCTTAACTTTAATTGGGATCATACATACTATGCAGAAATTTTTTTGAATCACATTGAGCACATGATTGGTAAAGTTAATCTTTCCAAATTTCATAATAAAAAATGTTCTTTTAAAGAGAAGAATCTTTAACACCAGAATTCCATGACTTTGACTGATGATTAAAACATTGTAATTTTAAGGCTCCGAACAGATTAGAACAAAAACCAGATTAGATCAGATCTGATCTTATTAAATTGCAATCTGTTTTGAATCAGATGAAGTAGAAATCATAATTTCTTTCATAAATGATTTTTTGAAGCTGGGTCACATGTTCAAAACACGATTGCAATAAAATCCCGTTTTAAAATAAAGTATTGGTAAATTTTTTTCATCATCACACCACCATTTTAATGGCTCATTTTCTAAAATTGCTTCAAATATTACTATACTATTATTATTATTACTATTGCTATTATTATTGTCATTATCATTACTACTGTTAATTTAT